CCCTGCTTTCTGAAAGATCAATCTTTATCGTCATCAATGTTCTACTAAGTTATCACTCCCAGCTATCTGAAAAATCAGCTTGTATTGCCATCTATATCCTAGTAACTTATCACTCCCAGCTATCTGAAGGCTTTCAGATAGCTGTGAGCGGCAGGTTAATAGATTATTTATAAGTCGACAACAAAGTCCAATTTTCTTCATATTTGTGGCAGGTAGGTTAGTAGAATGTTGATAACGATACAGATTGATCTTTCAGATAGCTGTGAGCGGCAGGTTAATAGATTATTTATAAGTCGACAACAAAGTCCAATTTTCTTCATATTTGTGGCAGGTAGGTTAGTAGAATGTTGATAACGATACAGATTGATTTAGTCTGTCTCGTCTACTTATCGGCAATGCTAGAAACTTACCTGCGCCAGCTAGTCAAGCAGTTAGCTTATCTAGATTAGTTATCATCACCAACTACGTCGCCTTAATATGGTTATCAAAGATCTACAAACTTATCTGCCCATTCCATCTGGAAAGTCAATTATATCTTCTAGTAAGCATCATTATACCAGATCACGTCAATACCAGCTCTCTGGATTATAGCGGTTTGATTCATTTCGTTACCACGTCAACACAAAATTATTTCTTAAGGAAAATACAACGGTTATTTGCTGAGGATGATCATATGCAGATAACAGTTTAAAAGTTTCAGGCACCTTTAAATGGTAGAAGATTCAAAGCATATTTAAACGTTAAAAGTGATTTCGTGTAAATCAAATAATGAAATTTTCTACTTTTATTTGTAATATATTTATTAATGATGTTTGTAAAGTGATAATATTTAACTTGCAAAATCATTTTAATTTCTTGTTTTATTATTTGCTAAAACTTACCGCGACTTGGTCCACATTTTTCTGTTGCTATTTTTATGGATTCCTCTGCACTATGTGCTATTTTTTGTTGCTTGTTGACATTAAGTGGAAAAGAGAGAGAAAGAACATTTCTGTGCATGTTGTCTGCTTACAACCATCGTCTTCTTGGAATATAGCCAAAGGTTCCTTAATAGGATCTCACCCACACGATCGTTCTGATTATTGAAAGACCTGTTGTCTATCACACTCTCAGCTTTTCTATCTCTTCCAAACTAAAAAAAAAGAAGGCAAAGATAACGCGTCTCGGAGAATTAGAATGCTCTGGCTCTCATTAAAAAAAAAAGAAAATAACTTTTATTTGTTGTTCCACTGAACGTGTCCATAAAGAAATTAGTGAGGTCAGATCGTCAACTGTGTTGGTTAACTGTTCTCTTCGCGTTTCTATGACAATTACTTTTAGTTTATCTCTTAGAAAGTGTTATTATGTTAATGTATAAAAGAAAGAACTAATAACAAATACTACGGGAAGTTAAAAAAATTTTGAAAAAGCAACACCAACATCATGCTTAAAGTATTGTAAAATCTTGTTTTTATATATGATTGTTAATATAACTTCCAACTCTAAGCAATGATTATCAGGCATCATTATAAAAATACCAACAAAATTGAATAATGAAACCGTTCAAGAAAAATATTACTAGTTTTGTTAAGGCTATGATAACTATGGTTTAGTATGTAAATGTAGTAATTTCCTCAACAAGGTTTAGCTTGGGCTTACGAAGTCTTCTGGCGACAAGCCAGAACAGTTCCAATCTGTTAGAAGAAAATTATAAAGACATTCTGAGGCATCCTATGCAGTACTGTAGACTTGCTTCCGTTTAAAAGTCTGAAAAAGGTGTTTGGTAATGGAATGAGAAGTGCTTGGATTAAAAATAAGTGAAAAAATATGTAAACAAGAAAGAGAAACATGTTTAAACACCCTAAGAAATCTTGAAACAAACTTTGTTCAAATTGTAGGCATTTATTTATTTATTATCTTATGCTCTTTCACATTATTGATGTTTTAACTGGGATTTGGTCGATTGAAGCTAAAGAAACAGGACGAAGTCAAAGCGAGAGGAAAACATGGGGATGAGGGATTTCTCAACAGTTAATTTGTTAACGGAATAACAAAATTCACTGCTAAAGAAATCTGGTATAGGGACGCTAATGAAAGTATTGAGCAAAGCTATAAATAACATTAAAACATTAAGGCAAAGTTTTAACGAAGTTTGACGCGATTTAATGCTCTAAGTTACAATAATATAGTAGCAAATCAAGTGTACCTTGCTGTTATCATTAATTAAAAGGCAAAGCAAGGATTAGTTTTAACTTTTCTTTATACTATCATTCATGCTGTTGGAAAAATTATATGCAAACAATGACAGTATTTAGAAACTATTTTAAACACGTCTCACAGACATAATATTTCGGGAGCCAAATAGTTTAAGGGATATGGACACATGAGCTACTGGTTGATGATTAAATCGCACGTAAAAATAAAACCACTAAGCCACAAGGTTAGATTTGTTTGGAATTCCGTGCAAAGCTATACGAGAGCTACCTGCGCTAACCGTCCCTAATTTAGCAGTGAAGGCAGCTGGCCATCACCTCCCACCGCCAACTCTTTCACCAACGAATTGACCGTCACATTATAACGCCCACAAGGCTGAAAGGGCGAGCCTGTTTGGAGGGATAGGGATTCGAACCTGTGACCCTCATATTGCGAGCTCCTGGCTATGTTGTTGTTTATTAACTATTAAGTAATAGTAAGAGTTGTTGTTTGTTGAATTTCGCGCGAAGCTATGCTCAAGAGCTAGATAACAGTCATGTTACATATCGGATGTACTGTTTACTGGGCTGGGCGTGACTTAGTATTTTTAATGTACCGGCTCATCGATCCTACGGTCAATGGTTCGCGTCCCGTTGCTTCAAAATAATGCTCCAAAATGGTCAAATCCCACTAATCAATTAAAGTGGCTAAAGAGTTGACGGTGGGGGATATCGACTAGCTTTCCTTCTCTCTTGCTTTTCAGTTGGAAATAATGGGTGATTAACGTTAATAGCTTTTGTATAGCTTTATGTCGGATTACAAGTTCGTGAAGCCTTTCAAGTTTAACAGTTCTATCAAAGGTTTATTGGGTGTTTTTTTCATTTTTATTACCCTTTAAATATCTAATCTAGATTTTCCACCAGTTACGTCTTTCTAAAGGGTTTGTTGAAAATATTTATTAAAAAACTTAAAGCTTATCTCCTCGTCACCTTCAGGCGTTCCATGGTAATGTGATATGAAAATTGTCAAACACTTTTTAATGTAAAACATTACGAGATGTATATATATATATATAAGTGCTCTTTCTTAAAGTTTAAAAAGACGGAGAAACCAGGACTTTTTGTTTCCCGAACATAATCATAAATCAAAAACACTCAGTGTAAACTTAAAATGTGTACTTCAGAATATTACTCAATGTTTACGACGTTTTTTTTTTTTCATAGCAACGCCCCCCCCCCCCCGTATCTCAGCGATACGTCTGAAGCCTTATAACGCTAAAAGTCGGGTTTCGACACCAGCATTATGCAGGACATAGATAGCCTATTGTGTAGTTTTGTGCTTAACAACACACAAACAATCTATAGTAACGGGTCCTGATGGATGAACAATAAGTCTAAGGGCTTATTACGCTAAAAATTTGGTTTCGATACCCGTGGTAGGCAGAGCACAGATAGCCCATCGTACAGCTTTGTACTTATCGATAGACAAACAAACAAAATTTCATAGTGATATTTTTTATTCTTAAACTGAAAAGGAATCTGTGGCTTATATTACAATCTATGTAGATAAATTTATGTTTTCTAAAAATCAGTATACTGTTTTGAGTATAATAGATGAACTAGCAATTTAGAGATCATTGCTTTGGATCTCACGAGAAACATTATATAGTTTCAGTCAAAGCTGCAAGGTTTTATATGTTATCAGATAATGTTTTGTTTTGTTATTTTGTAAATTTGCAGAGCACGGTTTGATCATTTCAGCGTAACACTTCAAAGAGTTATTGGTTTGAAATGTTGTATGTGATATTTAGCATATTTTGTGCTCAAGAAGGTTGTGGGGGAAGTTTATGACAATTGAATTAAGTAAATGTATGGATTTTTAGTAGTATTTGTTTGTTTGTTACTGCTTATTTTTACATTTATTCAAAATATGTGTACCACAGACAGCCCACATTCCCCATACTTTTCTCTAGCACACCCCCAACCCTCCAAATAGGGATTGCCTTAAATGCACCCTTTTTTGTTAATGTTCTCTGCACATTACTGAGGAAGTGCATATAGGGATGAGGATCGTATGTATATTTAACATTAGTTTGTTTGTTTAATTTCGCGCAAGGGAATACAGCTAGTCAATAATACCCACCACTAATTCTGGGACTACTCTAGCCTGTCCGAAAAGTGAAGTTTGATAAACATTCCTATAATGAATCCACAAGCCCAATATGTAGAGTGTGTTATTACGGCAAGGTGACTCGAACCATGAACTATTAGATTCATGGTCCATGAATGCTAACCACAAGGTCACGCCCTGCAAAGGTGGGGAGGCTAAGAGTAAAGTTAAAAACATACCTCATAATCAAATATTGGTACCTAAGAAGTTATTCTACATTGTTTTCAAGCTCCGTTAGTAAAATATTCCTAAAGTCCAACAAAAATGTATAGAAATAACACCAGAGAAATGACTTATGTGTCATGAGATGTGACTGTTTCCTAGTGAATAGTACAATTATATAGGACAAGTGAACGTGTAAGCTTAACAGTAAAAGTATCCCAGAGAGAGAGAGAAAAAAAGAAGATAGTTTGAAACTGTTTATCTAAAATATAAATATTTTCGCTAAATTAAATTTGTTAAACTGTTACATCCTGTTAGCTCAAATGATTAGAGAATGTTTGTCAAACATCATTAACACAACACGCCACTTCGGTTAGAGGTATCAGTATTTTAGAACGTTGTTTTATTGAAGACGTAGTGTAGAAGATAGAAGACGTTACATCTTGATTTCCTTTTAAGGATCCCGGAAAAACAGCATGAAAACCTAGCACCGCTGAGAGGGTGGGCAAGCGCCCAGCTATCTGCACACGACACCCTTTGGTTATTCTTGTATACTTTTAAGCTACTAGGATCACTATTGAATAAGAAATAACGGAAAATAGTGTAAAAACTACCACACGTGAGAAGACTTCGGTCCCTGACGTCACATCTGTGTAAACCGTTACATGTCTTCCGAAAGCAGCGCGAAATATGAAATCCGTTAGTCATGGCGATAAATTCTCCACCCTCTTCCGCCGAATTGGCGAATCCAGGACGGGCTCAGTGGGAAGATAACACAGGAAAGACGTGCGTCTCTGTGTTGAAGGTGGCAGTTGTCTGGTGTAACTAGTCCGTTGTGATCTCAGTTTAGCCTGACCCTTCTGACTCTAATCTGATCGTCGCTGACCATGTCTGAAGATTACACCATTACCGAAGTTCGCAAGACGAAGAAAACAAAAAAGAAAACCAAAATTTCTTATGATGTGGACACGGACGAGAGGGCTGCTGATGGGCCTCAGTTTCAAGATGAATCAAGGAATGAGGTACAGGTTTTCTTTATAGCCAGGCTGCTTTAGAATTTGTTGCAAGAATAATGTGATTTTTGTCTTCAAAGACGCCCTGCAGTTAACATGGCATAAAGCAGAATACTATATCTTGAAAAACTGTTTTTACCATCTTCATCTTCTGATGGTGTATTGAACCTCAAACGTAACTCAAAAATTTCCTATGAAACACCATCGTTTTATAGGGAATTATATTATAAAAAATATTTTTGATAATGGTGACTTAGATAACATTTACATCTTTTTCGCTTGGATTTAAATAGTTATTTACGATACTTGTAGGGTTCAGGAATTTGAACAAGAATGAGAATGAAAAAAATCTATCAGAGTTCTTGGAGACGGTTTGAATGGGTAATGAAGAAAACTTTAATATAAGTTTAACATAACAGCAAATAGCCTTGTCGAAACGTTGTACATTTGCTGTTATGTTAAACTTATATTAAAGTTTTTTCATTACCCATTCAAGCCATCTCCAAGCATTATTTCTCTCAAAGTGGGTTCCTAGTCATCGAATTCGAAATCGAATTTATCAGAGTTCATCTCTTACAGTTCTATTGTCAACAACGCTTCGATAAACTTCCCATTAAGCATAGTTTATTTAGTTGATTTATTTGTTTGATGACAATTCCTTTATTAAAATATATTATGAACTTTGATTAAGTTTCATTAGGCTCAAATTTTGTTCACATTTGTTTAAATTTGACGAGATTTTGCTAAACTTTTATCCGCCATTATTGTTCACTGAGTTTCCTGGTGATATCTCATATCACACCTTTACGTAAAACACCTCGGTAAACTTTTGTTAGATTTGTTTAGATTATTTAGTTGCACGATATCAGTTTTATGAACAACGTTTAGAAACGTAATATATTTCTTTAGTTGGTATCATTTACCTGACAATACTGTTATTGAAAACATTTCTGTAAACTTTCATTACACTCCTAGCTGCGTGTTTTATTTCTTCGGTTCATTTATTCCTTTTTTAGAAAAAGATATTGAAAACTCCGTTCTTTTTTTTAGGATGGTGGGGCAATGAAATTCTTGACATTCCTGTTATCGGCAACGTTTCTTACGTTATGACTCTTAGGCTTAGTTTATTCTTAAGTATTTAAATTAGGAAAATTCAATAGCAAAAGTCAAAGCTAACATGTTTGGTGTGTAAAAAAACAACAACACTTAATCGATTTGACATTCGAGTTTCCTTCTGTCGTAATTGATGTAACGAACGGATTCTGATCTCATTTTATAATTTGCAATTTCATTTCATTTCATTGGATTTACAAATTTTGTATCTACCTTTTAAATGTTCTTAAAGTTTACATACAATTAACTTAAATAAATGAAGTCTAACTCTCCTCACAAGCTTTATTATAAACAGGCTTTTTAACTATACTTATACTTATCAGCTTAGACTAATATATCGTGATATAGGACCATATTCTTTGCGTATATTCTGATTAAAACGTTTTGTTTCGTTGCCCGAAAGCTTGATGTACAGAAAGGATTAAGAATATAGAAAAATCGCATTCACATCATTTTAATGAAATTGTAATCGGAATGCAGGCTATGATTTAATGTAAAGGCAAAAAGAGTTGCGCAGATATGAGGATTTTAGAGCTATCGAGCCTGGTTCGAATCTGCGATACCACAAAATATTTCCTACACGTTAAGCTGTATATGTGTTATAAGAGTGAAAGTCAATAACTTAACGTAGATGGTGGATTATAGAGTGCTGCTGCTGACTGACTTCCTTACCTCTGGTCAGTAATAAAGAATTGCAACAGATAGCCTAAGTAGCTTTACCATAAATACAAAATGCAAATATATATATTGGAACTTATAAAGTGTTAATCAAACCATGATCTATATTTTGAATGATAATATAAGTAACACCATATCTTAAAGTGCTATTAATTTGAATTTTTGATACGAATAAGACCGTGTATACTGAACATGTTCAAAATTGTCATCCAATGCATTCAGACGATAAAACTTGAATCATGTTATCCTTAGATAAAGTAGCACACTATACTTAAAATCGCATATTATTAAACTTGAGTATACCAGTGTTATTGTTTTTTCAGTGACCTGGTGGGCTATTTATGCGCTTATAATAGCAGGAAAAGTTAATATTTTGTTGATTTTATTTAGTAAACACCCACAGTCCATTAATTTAATACATCAGCATCCATAAATAACAAAGACGTTATATTTTCAAATCGAGACCCAAACTCGAACGCTTTCGAATAGTTGACTATTCTTCTTCAGGAGAATAGAGAAGAATAGTTAACTATTCGTCAGCGCTCGAGTTATGGGTCTCGCTTTGAAAATATTACAACTTTTGTAGGTGATCCTGTGTGCTAACTACTTAACCCGGATAACAAGGACGTGTCTAACTTTCAGAACTACTTAATATTCATGTATTATCTTTGTCCTTATTTAGTGGTCCCCCTGTGGGACAGCGTAAATCTATGGATTTACAATGCTAAAATCCGGGTTCGATTCTCTGTGGTACATACAACAGGAAGATCAATGTGGCTTTGCTCTCACACAAACAAATAAACTTTATTTATTGCTGAATTATCAGCTACCATTAACCAGTGGGTCAGCAATAAGTTGAAGGACTTACAACGCTAAAATTGAGGTTCAATTTCAAGGCTCCCCAGTGGCAAAGCGATAAATCTAAAGGCCTATATGCTAAACATTGGGTTTCAATACTCTTGTTGGGCACAGCACAGATAGTCCATTGTATAGCTTTGGGTTTAACAACAAACAAAATAAAAAAAATATATTCCCTGTGATGGACAGAGCGCAGATAGCCTATCGTGTTGCTTTGCGCTAAATCAAACTCAATTTATAAGTTATAAACTTAAATATTAACCATAAGTTACCATGAACCAGAAGACCGTTAATGTTTCTTGCAATCCTTAATCTTGCCCAAGTTACCATTATAATATTATTAGTATAATATTATACTATTTTTTTCCTTATCCTCCAATCTTTGACCTTACAGTATTGACATATGAAAGTGTGATCTTTATTGTAATCTTCATTGTTTGTAACGCGAGAACGTAAAAGATCTGTGGGTGGCTCTCAGTCAACCTGGTCGTGAAATTTTATCAGGTCAAAATAATATATTAACAACGTTTTTACATATATCAGCTTAAGTAATATATAAGCTAACTTCCGTAACTGAATAATTTTCATTTTCATAGAAACAAAAACTTCAAATGTCGACACAGGCAATAAAGGTTGTTGCATTAAAATATTATCATGTATTCATACATACATACTTATTGCCAAATACATACACTGTTGTCTGAGCTACATATTTATGGTAACATAAAGACTGCTCAATTACTATAATTTTCGAGAAGTTGAAAACTGAAACATATAAAACTATTTAAAACGATATAGATCAAGACTCAATAACCAGATCCAGTGATATAGTGTAACGTTGTTTTGATAATAGATTCTGTTCTATCCAAGTGAATTTTAATTACTTTTCACAGCTGGTTTACACGGACGAATTCTCGAAAACCACGCCCAGGGATATCTTCACTGGCCATTTCTGCTGCTGGCAGTGCGATGATTCTTTGACTGGCCAACGTTACGTTCTTAGAGATGACCATCCCTACTGTGTACGCTGCTATGAACAAGTTTTCGCCAACACTTGTGAGGATTGTAACAAGATTATCGGGATAGATTCAAAGGTAACATAACTTCTACTAAACTTAAATGTGTAAAAATGATTAACTGAAAACCTATATGAACTCTTTTTTTTTTTATTGGTTACATGGGTGATGAATGAAAAAAAAAAGATGCGAATAGATTTTTGTTATTCAAAATCGAAATTTATTGAAGTTCCTATTTAGTATTGTTGACTGGTTACAAAAAAATTACAATTTTAGTTTATATCTCATTAAAAAAATGTTATTTCAACTATTCATTTCGTTTGCATTTAACGCGACGTTTTGATTTATTCCGAAACTCAAACGTAAAAGTTTTAGTTGATTATAGTCAACTTGTATTTTAATATATTCATCAGTAATCACTTTAAAGCGTGACACAAGCTTACAAAAAAATTTCCATGAAACGTAGCATACGTGATTTATACGGAAATGATGCTCAAAACAAAATAGGAGACGCTGTGTCACGTGAAAAAAAGAAAAGTAAAGAAACTTATACTTTATAAAATTACCATTAGGTATGTAACAAAACAGTTGAACATAATGGGGCTATGAGTGTCTGATAGCCTTCATTACTAAGCAGTTTTCCACTATTTCTAGAACATCTGACAGCGTCCTCTCCCCCAAAATGGCGCAGAGGGAAGTCTAGAAGCTTATGACGTTAACAATCGATTTCGATACAGTTTAGGTAGCCCGCTGTATAGTTTTGTGCTTAAAAATAAACAAACCTTACCAAACACTTCCCCGTCCTCTATACCAAATGGTAGTTCTTACAAACATATTCATCCAAAGACCACTATATAGATCCAACACCGTTTAAAAGCATTGTTCACTCACCCATCCACTCCCAATGAGCAGTGATTTCGATTCTAGCTGAATGATCTGCGATTACATCAGCTATTAGTCCAATCAAAACCTTTATATCTCTAGGTAATGTTTCTGTTGACGTACAGTAATGTTTCTAAACAATTTTACCATACCATTTGACAGCACTGAGAAAGGCATTTCTCAGGTTTGCAATATTTCCTACTATTCTGCCGACAGTGTTTTTGACTCTATCGAATAACCCAACTTTAATTTACAAAAACCCACAGTACCCTGCTAATTAGTTGGAAGCCATGCTTTAAGTATACGGCCATTTGAAATGAACATTTTTATCAATAAATTTTCTGGATATTCTAAAATACTTTTAATGTTGTGTTTAACATTACTGCGGAAACAAAGATCTAGCGATCTACTCTTTCATGTACTGCAGATAACGTTTTATAGTTAATGTACATCTCTATCAGACAGAATTACATATTAAAACAATAAATATACTATTTCAGATATTATTTATTGCTAGTTGACAGAATCCAATATTTCAACTGATATTTATTGCTAGTTGACAGAATCCAATATTTCAGTTGATATGTATTGCTAGTTGACAAAATTCAATATTTCAGCTAGTATTTATTGCTAATTAACGGAATCCGGTATTTAAACTGGTACCTATTGCTAGTTGAGAAAATCCAGTATTTCAGCTGGTATTTATTGCTGGTTGACAAAATCCAGTACTTCAGCTGGTATTTATTGCTGGTTGACAAAATCCAGTATTTCAGCTGGTATTTATTGCTGGTTGACAAAATCCAGTATTTCAGCTGGTATTTATTGCTGGTTGACAAAATCCAGTATTTCAGCTGGTACTTATTGCTAGTTGACAAAATCCAGTATTTCAGCTGGTATTTATTGCTGGTTGACAAAATCCAGTATTTCAGCTGGTGTTTATTGCTTTTAACAACACCACTATATCTTAGATGGTATTTATCGCCTACTTACAGTATATGGTGTCTCAGCTAGTATGTTTGTAAGTTGGTGGTATTTGGTGATCCAATTAGCAATTGTCTTTAATTGAGAAACATGTATATAATAGTACGTTAAACTGCTTCGTAATATCCAACGAGTTTTAAATTATTTAAAAAAGAAATATACGAGCAAACACTTTAACTCCGACTGTTCAGTAGTTTTGAAAAGGGCATAACACATGGATTTTCAGCCGTTGTATGCTACCGTATATCCCACTGGCCTATAATATATTTCATAGTTAATTTTTTTTTCTAGAGCTCTAATTTGGAACGTTCTAAATCCGGTAAAGCATCGAGGTCATGTACTATTTCAATCCTCTTTGAAACAGTATTCAGTCAATGGGATAATTATATCTTACACATCCAGATTGGTTGGGATTAATTTATGGCTATCACAAAAAAGCAAAGATACCTCCATATACTTCTGATCCACTCTTGTGATTGGTTAGCTGTAGAGAGAATGTGGGTCACGGCAGTAATTTTGGCATTTTCAAAAAGATTCGTTTCTATTTTGAAAGAGTCAAGACTTGCTGTGAAAGTCGCGTCTTTTGTTCCTACTTATTGTGATACCTGCTGATTGCATATGGTTTATTGTCGCAAACAGTTTTCAGCTTATTTTCTTTTATTAAACAGTTTCATTTCTTTCAATAATCTATGATGTAGAAGTTGGCTACTATAGTTCACCATCTAACGCTATCTACTGCTCTAAACAGTTCTCCCGCAGTCGTACTAGTCTGTATATTGTATATCCATTTTATTCTTTGTCCTTTTTTTTTCTTTTAATTTTCCTCTAAATCTTTCCATTAAAAATAGTATTTTGCAGGTTTAGGAGCCTTATAACGCATCCAAAATATTTTATCTTCTTCATTAACTTTTTTCCTTTATAATTCCTAGCCATTACAAAAACTTCTGCATTCGTTATTCTTTCCATACAGCTGATAGTTAACATTCCTCTAACAATTCGTACTTCTAAAGCCTACACGTCTCCTTACTGATGGTCCACATATAAAATTTTGACTTTATATAGAAGTAAACAATTCTCAATCTAGAATTATTATTCTTCTCCTTAGAACCGAGATTAAAATTGATCTTGCAATCCCAGTCATCATATGCCTGAGGTACACTTGTTCTGAACCTTCACCAGTGAAACGAAATCAAATCGTGAGACTTCATTTCTTGACTTTTTTATTTGGAACAGTGCGCTAATTTTCTTCATTCAAATTACTGCAATAGCAGATCCCTCCCACTGTATGCGACCAACCATTTTCCAAGAAGTTATTTTGTTTCTTTAATAAATGCATAATTTTCTTTAACTTCATTCCATGTCTTGTCTATTTCGTTTCACCTGCAATAAATCACTACATTTGTCCTGTAGCTGTTTCTTAGCTCTTCCTGAACCTTGCTATAACACGGTCATTTGTAAGTAGTGTTCACTTTCAATTATCTCTTTCGGTCTGATACAGCTTTACAGGAAACAGTGTATATTATCTGTCGAAAAAAAGTCATTAATTGATATAAAGAATTGCCAATTAAGACTTCATTTTTTAAAAATATTTTTATGGATGTCACTAAAAACTTTATTCTAATGTGCTGAAAGAATCTATTCGAAATCCCTAACCTCCCAGTGGCACAGCGGTATGTCTGCGGATTTACAGCGCTAGAAACCAGGTTTCGATACCCGTGGTGGGCAGAGCACAGATAACCCATTGTGTAGCTTTGTGCTTAATTAGAAACAAACAAACAATCGAAGTCCCTATAGTATTTTCGTTAAGATCGTGATTTGTCAACAGAATCGGTATAAACGCGAAAGGAAATTTTAAACCAACAGGTACGAGTGATATTTCACGACTGCACTCTTCGCATGTTCTTTTTATCCATGTCTTTTTATAGATGTATGTGTATATATATAAACAACAGTTAGTTTGTTTGAGTCTTGGTGACGCACGTAGTATGCGGAATTTACGCAACTAGGCGGAGATCAGGGCTCTGTGTGGCACGTGAGAGTCATTTTTCTTTAGATCACCTGCAAGGATATATAAGGGTATCAAATAAGTAGAAATTCAATCCATTCAGATCTACGCTCCGAGGGCTGTATCTACTATCAAGAAGTTGGTATCGATACTCTGCTCTTGTTATACGTTACATAAGTTCCCGTACTTTGTGTTGTAATCAGCTCCCCCTCCCACTTCAATTTTTAATTCTCAGAATTTAAACAAACAGAACGGTTCATTAAAGCACGTACCCAGCATGTTAGATATTCGCAGATGAGTAAAGCGTGACATATCTCTAGAGATGAAACTGTTGATCTAAAACATTTCTTTTTCTTTCAACCATTGGTAATGTTCCATTTTTTTTCAATAACACGTTTTTTTTTCTCACAAGAACAGTTAATAATTCATTTGTTATATTTTACCCCTCCAGACCACATTATGAAATCATATACAACTCACAAATGGAATACAGTTCTAGTTCTTCACACAGTTATTAGTTATATAAATTGCTAAATCAAATTCTTTGTGTCATTATAATTTCTACTATTTTACGTGTTAAGAAATTTGGGAAACATTTTATCGAATTCATCAGCTTGTGAAAATACGTGAAGACCAGAGTAGAATGTTAAGATGAAGTATTAAAGCTGTAATTAAATGTTACGAGGTCTCTCAAACCTGAAGTTTGTACGTGCGATCTTTTGAAGTATTTGACGTACTTTTACTTTAAATATTTCTTTTATTAGAAGCTGACCTATAAGGATAAATAAAGAAAAGGTATCTATTACTTTTAAAATTACAACACGTATATCTCTATTACAGGACCTGTCGTACAAAGATAAACACTGGCATGAAGCTTGCTTCCTCTGCAACAAGTGTCGGGTATCACTTGTGGATAAACCCTTTGGCTCCAGGGCTGAAAAAGTTTACTGTTCTAGCTGTTACGATGCTGCTTTCGCCACCAGGTGCGATGGGTGTGGTGACGTCTTCAGAGCAGGTACCGATTGAACCTTATACGTTGTATATGTATGGCTAATTTTATCCTCGCACTCCAACCCCCGTAGGTAGGCTTAACTTAAAATCATAAATTCTTTGAATATATAATATATACAACAGTGAGAGTGCTTTAAAATACTTAACGAATATCTGCCCATTTTATATACATACATTTATACGTGTTCATCCACATTTTACTGCACAAAATCATCGTACTACATAATTCACTTTCGATATAGAACAAAAATTTAATATTTGCACGAATTTACTGATCTGAAATAATTTCCACTATGGAAACTTCAATCAATACTATATATTTTATTATAAATCCTGTACAATTATCCATTTACTGCTTGCCATTTTAAAGGAACGAAGAAAATGGAGTATAAGGGTCGTCAATGGCACGAGAAGTGCTTCTGTTGTGTCGTGTGTCAAAACTCTATTGGAACCAAAAGTTTTATTCCTCGGGAGAGCGACATCTATTGCACAGTTTGCTATGAGGAGAAGTTCGCTACTCGTTGTATCAAGTGCAATCAGGTAAGGTATAACATGTGTGTGTATAATGTGTAGAATAGCTTACTTACGATCAAACACACAATACTATCTAAAAACACACATCTACGGTAAAATACACCAGATACAACCTATCTTGAATGATATAAATTATGCAATATAAATTTTTCTCTTCTTTGTTTATTGGTATCTGTGGGAGGGATTTAGAACTAACATATGATATTGGATGTTGCAAGTGGTTTCTCGCACTTCTGGCCACAACCCACAACTGTACGATAGTTTTATTTCTCATTGGTCAAAGGTAAAAGTAACAGAAGATAGGTGGGGCAAATGAACCCTTTTTTCCCTCCTCCCTGTAGTCTACCCACTGTTAGTACGTGTCAAGATATATATTAATCACAACACTGATAGAATTATACAAGTTTTTGATTGTTTTGTAACAATTTGGTTGTTTGGTGTAACTTCACATGAATCGCCACCTTTAATCTTTTTCCATATATTTTTTTATCTACACCAGATCATTACTAGCGGTGGGGTGACTTACAGGAATGACCCCTGGCATCGAGAGTGCTTCAGTTGTACAAACTGCAACACGTGTCTCGCGGGACAACGTTTTACCTCACGTGATGACAACCCCTATTGCGCTGAATGTTTTGGGGAGCTTTTTGCTAAGAGATGTGTTTCCTGCAACAGACCTATCACAGGTAAGATATCTGATTTCGTTGTTCATACCAAGAATTTTTCATAAGAAACTTGCTTTTACACTAAACCTATTTACCAGGGACCAAATGGCAATTACACATAAACTGATTTAGTTTTTTAAATATAAAATACGTCTTTACTTACAAAACAAATCCCACATGTAAATGATGACTGCCATTTAAATCGTAAAACTCTCATTTTACCCGAGTCAGGCTTGGCCAGTTAGTTAATGTGCCTGGACTGTGGATCCGACAAATCGTGGTTCTATACACTTTGAGGTCGAAGATACAGTATAATAATGTCGATTAAATGCCGCAATTTGACCAGAAGAGAGTAGGCTCAGAGTTGGCAGTGGATACTATTGACTAGCTATAAGCAAGTAGCCTTTGTATAGTTTTGCGTAAAATTCGAAGCAAGCAAACAGGCTCGTTTTACCGCCACCTAGCGTTTTACATTTTTAGCTATATTTGCAGATGCCCTTTTTTGCTCGGTGTAAACGTGCTCTTGAAGATTGGTTTAAAGTAAGTTGTGTAAAATAATGATGTGAAAGGATAGAAAACTAAGTGCACCTACAGTGCCTTATAGAAGTATTCACCCCTTACAAATATTGTTACATTTTGATGAAATACAAATAACGTAAACAATGTTTTTAATGAACCTTTTTTTATAAACGAAACTCTAATGATCAAACTTAACACTGTTATGTGTGAAATAGGCTGAATGTCAGAAAAACCTGCAAAGAAAATAAATAAATTGAAATTCGCTAATTGCACAAGTATTCAGCCTCCAAAGCAAGTACTTGGTGGAAGTACGTTTGGCAGCAATTACTGCTGGGAGTCTTTTTGGATAGGTTTCTACCAACTTTGCACATTGAGATGATGTAATTTTTGCCTATTCTTCGTGGCAAAATTGCTAAAATTCTGACAAGGTCGTTGAGGATCGTTGATGGACTGCAATCTTTAAATCTCGCCATAAATTTTCTATTCGATTCAAGTCAGAACTTTGACTTGGCCATGCCATAACGTTCACTTTCTTGTTTTGAAAGCACTCCAGCGTGGCTTTGGCTTTGTGCTGAATCAAGTAGGTTTTTTTCAAGGATTCACCTGTACTTTGCACCATTTATTTTCCCCTCAGTCCTGACAAGCTGGCCAATCCCTGCTGACCAGAAGCATCCCCATAACATGATACCGCCAGCATCATGTTTCACAGTTGTGATGGTACTGACTGGGTTATGTGCTGTGTTGTGCTTGTGCCAGACGTAACGCTTTAAATTAAGAATAAAAAGCTAAATTTTTGTTTCGTCCGACCACAAAACCTCCTGTTATATGTCTGCAGTATCATTTACGTGCTTTGTCGCAAACTCCATACGAGATTTAAGATGATTCTTTTTCAATGATGGCTTCTTTCTTGCCACTCGCCCATACAGGCCAGATTTGTGTAGGAACCGGGATATTGTCAACGTATGAACACTGACTCTAATCTCAAATATGGATTTTTGCAAATCTTTCAAAGTCAGTGTTGGCTTCACAGTGGCATCCCTAACCAGTTTCCTGCTTGCCCGAATGCTTAGTTTGGAAGGGCGGCCTGATCTAGGTAGTGACTGGGTGGTATGAAGAACATTCTACTTAATGAAGAGCCTTCACTGTACTCAAAGGGATAATCAGCAACTTTGAAATTTTCTTGTAATCTTCTCCTAATCTGTGTTTCTCTACCACGTTATCTCTGACTTGTTTGGAAAGCTCCTTGGTCTTCATAGTGGGTTTGTCTTATCATTATGTGAATTGTGGCTTGAACAGATACATTTACTTCGAAGTCAAGTTAAACCACTTTGATTACACACAGACAGAGACCAGTACACTAATTTTGTGACCTTACAAACTAGTCTTTTGCACCAGAACTGATTTAGGGTTGCCACAGCAAAGGGGTTGAATACTTATGCAATTGAGAATAATCTAATTTTCTTTGAAAATCTAACCTACTTACATAATATCAGCGTTTTTTAGCTTTCTCAGTTTTGAGTAGATTGTGTAGATTATAAATATAAAGTCCTATTTGAAATTTTCGTGAATGCATGCTCAGAAGGCAAAAAATGTGGAACTTTACAGGGGGGGGTGGATATTTTTTCAAGACACTGTATGTAACTGTTCAGACACAGCCATAAACTGCGTTCAGATTGTTAAGAATTTCTTTGTTTTTTAATCTGTTACACTGAAGAATCCAAATATATCATGATTGATGATTTTGTTATGAAATAAGGAATATTATTATCTTCATGAAATAAAATAATAATTAACAATTTGTAAAAGCTTTAGAACGATTCAACCTTAAGAAACGTATATGTAAAGCAAATGTAAAAAACAACAGATTGAAATTTCCGAATTAAAAACGAAAAAAAAGGATTTTTTTTCCACAAGATTACTGTTAATCAAATACATTTTAAGCGTTTGTTATCACAGCATGTATTTATTGCATTCTATGTAATGGTAAATTCGAAACCTGTCAGAATTGTTGAAGACGTTTTTAAAAACTAACTTCCAAATAATATTGTTGTAATCTATATTTTAATGTTTTAATGTGGACATTAGCTAGATGGCACTTGGCGTTAAATTAGTATTAGAATATATTAGAATACCTAGAACGCTCAGGAATATAGTAATCGAAAGACTTTTAGAAGTGTCTAGAAAGTCATTTTAGTTCAGCGAAGTATTTAGTCTCCGTGAACTTTATTCGTTTGTTTGTTGAATTTCCCACAAAAATTCCCGAGGGTTTTCTGCGCTAAGAGTCCTTAATTTACAAGTGATAGAATAGAGGGAAGGCAGTTAGTTAACACTAACCACCGCCAACTTTTGGGCTAATCTTTTATCAACAAAATGTGGAATCGATCGTCACACTACAACGCCCCTAGGACTGAAAGGATGAGGATATTCGGTGACGGGATTCGAACCCATGACCCGCTGATTATGAGTCGAGCGCCCTAACAACCAAATCATGCCAGGTCTTAGTTTTTAGTGAAGTGTTTGGATCAGTGTTAGTTACTACGTAAATTCAATTATTCGATCAATTAGTAGTGAAGTACAAGTAATCTTATTTGTTTAAATTAGTTGTATCACCGTTATGGAGATATATCCGTTTAAACGTTATTTGTAAAATTAGACCCACGAGTTATGTCAGTGTACATTGAAGCTAGGTTGTAGAAACGTTAAAAACGAAATTGATAATTCAAAAGAACCAGTCAAACAAAAGAACAACGTTACAACAATATAAGTATCTAATAATGGCTGGAGACGGTTTGAATGGGTAATGAAGAAAAAATTTTATATAAGTTTAACATAACAGCAAATGTACAACGTTTCGACAAGGTTTTTCATCATCATTGTACCTGATGATGACAAAACCTTGTCAAAACGTTGTACATTTGTTGTTATGTTAAACTTATATTAAAGTTTTTCTTCATTATCCATTCAAGCCGTCTCCAGCCATTATTAGTTTCAAAGTGGGTTCCTCGTCACCGAATGTAAGTATCTGTTATTCTTAATCCTTAACAATAATAATTTAGATATATTTCATTCGCATCACAGTGCAAACCTTATAGGATGGATGCACAACAAACTAAGTGCTTAACTGACATATGAAACTCCACTAAACACTTCAAAATACTTTTTTTATATTGGGCTTTTCGCTACATCTGCTTTGGCTTGTTGTTTATTTAGACAATTTTCTAAATGACTGAGACAAAAATGTGTCACCTTGTTCTGGTATGTGATTGTGCAAGACGTTAATGCGGGTATGAAGTTATCTATAACAATTTACTAAATAACTAAAGCGAACAGTACACTCTACTCTTGTGCTCTGGCACGTAGTTGTGTATCACATTTTTCAAACGTTTGAGGAGAATGGTACGTTACGAGCTCCCCATTACACGAATATGTTTCTATAGTTCATCTATTGTTATAGTAGTCAAAACATCTGAAAAACATACCACAGAGTAGTTTGTTAACATTTGAAATTGCTCACGAAGATTATGAAGCCCTAACAAAGAAACTATACTTTATTTGCAACTTTATTTATAAACGACTGTTATGTAACTTAACTTAAGTCTAATAAAATTATAATTAGCTGTTGTTTATTTGTTTTTAGAACAAAGCCACATTTGGCTATTTGATGTGTCCACCGCGAGAAATCGAACCCCGGATTTTAGCGTTGTAACTCTAAGCTTACTGCTTTCGTAATTAGCTTTAGACTTTACTAACACAACCTTTAGATTTGCTCTGTCCGGAATTGTCCCTACTCTCCTTACCAGGTTGTTTTTATCTTATCTAATAACACATCAAAAGAGAAGTTAATAACCACTAGTAGACTCGTGGATTCTCGAGACAATCTGAACTGTATAATAGAATAATTCACACGTGTATACTTTTCACATACACCTTCTTAATAGTTATCTGAAATATTTGTTTGAAATACTTCCAACTATTCTGACAAAAATCAAATTATTGTTATTTCTAACAATAAGGTAAGTAATAAAATGACTCGTACTGTATTTAACCGAAACTGCTAACAAGAACAGTTAGAATTACAAAGTTGTGGTTAGGTTAAGTCTTTGTTTAATTTTTTTATCCGAAGCTACTTGGAATAATAATCATCTATCAGTTTGCACCTTGTTAAAGCTCATGAGACTGTACTTTAAGTCCCCCAGTAGGACAGCGGTAAGTCTACGGATATACAACCCTAAAATCAGGGTTTTGATTCCCTTCGGTGGACACAGGAGATAGCCTGATGTGGCTTTGCTATAAAACACATACATACTGTACATTGATCGAGTTCTAACACTATATTTTTAGGTTAGAAATAAGAAGGTTTCTAAAACCTACAGATTTTTTTTTCCAGTCAATGTTTTGTAGTTCTTTCGATATTTTGAATTTAACATATTCAAACTTTAGACAGAAGAATGTAACATGAAAGGAAATTAATTCCAAATTGGTGTATAAGATATATCGGACTCTAGAGTGTTTAAGTATTAACATGACACGCGGTTAGAAATAGTTTTGCTCTATGGTTAAACTATTTTTATAAAAATGACACATTTCTTTCTCTCAGGGATTGGTGGAACCCGATTCATCTCGTTCGAAGACCGCAACTGGCACAATGAGTGCTTTATTTGTGCCATGTGCAACAATTCCCTGGTGGGCAAAGGCTTCATCACTGACGGCCCCGATATCCTGTGCCCAGAATGCGCCAAGCAAAAGTTGATGTGAAGAGGGACATCTAATGAGGAAACAACGAACGATGCATCAGTTTTTAGAGATGTAGTAAACAACGCTTAACCCTTGTTATCGAACAAACAACCCAGATGAGTTCATGCCAGTCAACTTAAAAATTATCTACACTTTTCAACGCTTAACCCTTGTTATCGAACAAACAACCCAGATGAGTTCATGCCAGTCAACTTAAAAAATTATCTACACTTTTCAACGCTTAACCCTTGTTATCGAACAAACAACCCAGATGAGTTCATGCCAGTCAACTTAAAAATTATCTACACTTTTCATGTTAATTATATGATTTCATTTACCCTGCTTTATAGTTTAAGCCTTTACCACTGCCAGATTAATTTTAAACCTTAACTACAAAAAAGCAACAGGTTGTGACCATTGCTTAGCTCGTGATGTGGAGGGATTTTTTTAGGTGGGTGATCTTCTCATTTTTAGAAGAATTAATACATTTATTACTATAAATGAAAGTTTCTTATTAGCAGATTGTTAAATTACTCTACAAGAGTATTAAAACTTTTAATTACTAGTCGAGCATATGTGTTTGAAAGAATACACTCGATAATCTGCGGGAAACACCCTCCATTCCCCCCAACCCACCACTCAGCATTCCATAATTCGAGTGTATAGTGGTACATGGTTTGCTGAGTGACCAATAGGCTCCCGTTTTTGTTATTGTATACTTATTATTGTGCTTAATACAGCTTCGTGCTCTCTACGATGTTTGTCACCCGTTTAACGTAATATTGAGTCTTTTAGTTTGGGGTTTTAACCAAGAATCCCAATGCTTGCTTTATACGAAACTTGTTTTGCTTGAAACAGTGTTGACCTTGAATAAAACAGGGTGTTTGTGTCATTGGATTATTGTTTACTTTATATACATATATATATATATATCAATGTTAAGATAAAACACGCTTTGTTAAAACATTCAAAAATTGTTTACACGTGTAACTTGATCAATGAGAAAAAAAGATCATAATGTTTTCCGAGCGGTTTATATTATACTAAATTTGACCTAATTCGCAACATAGTTATTATTTTCCTACAAAATTGCTTACGATTATGATCGAGTAAAATTGTATGTTACTAGGGATAGTAAAAAATACATTTTCGTGAAAATTATTTTCAAGTATAAGAATTACTTGTAGAATTACAAGAAGATGCATGACTACTTTTAACTAACTGCTATATATGTATGACAAATTAACAAAAACCTATGATATTAAGCTCTAACTTCTCCATAAACATTCTTTTTTCTATAAATATGTTCAATTTCAAATGACAACTTTTAATTTTATCAAGAATGTTTTTGAATATGACTCTCGAACAAAAGCGGCTGTTTTCGTATGGAAATCGAATAGAATGTGGTGTCATCTCAGCTTATTTCCCGGATGTAACAGTTAGTTGACATTACATTTCCCCAAATACATTTTGCTAAGAAGGAGGAAAAATGTTAATTCTGCATTTCCGAAAAGAAACTAAAGAAATTTAGAATATGAAATATTTTGTACTGCGCATAAGCCAACGTTTTTGTTTGTTTGTTTTGTTTCTTAATGATCTTTGATGAAGTCATTTTCCAAAGGGATGAATTACAGAAATAGGTAGGCAAGCAAACGTCAGCACGAATGGTATTTTGACTTTTACTGAAGATTTTATGCTGGTCTTCATCTCTTTGTAGCTAATACTAAACTGTGATTTTTTACTGAAGACTTTTATGCTTTACAAAACCTGTTAAATCGTTTCCCATTTCAAGTCGTATGTCTGGTTCTGGTGGCCATGCTAGTTTTTTTAATTTAATATAATATAGTGTTCTGGTATGCTTTTAATTCTGATATATATTGAAGTTATTTTAATAAAATGTTTTGTTACATAATTATCAATGAAGAATATGGTTGTTGTTATACTAACTGCAACTACGCAGTGCATGTGCTGTGTTTTAGTTTTTTTTATAAGTGACGTAATAAAATCGGTTTTAAATAAACTACAAAAATAAGAACATGGCGCTTATTACTAACTGCTAATTTCTAACCAAACAATTTTTTTGGCAAGTAAACAATCTTACTAATTAGTTACTAAAAAAACGAAGCTTTAAATAGCCTACTTTCATTTATTTTCTAATACCAGGAAATAGTGAAACGAAGTAAACGTTAAAGAGCGAAAAGATTTATACACGTCAAGCGACAAAACCTCTATCACGGTGTAAACAGTTTTGACGTGAGAGCTGTTAAATTGAATTATATGTTTAAGGCCCAATACTTAAGTGATTAATAATCAAAGCATAAATATTTACCAAAATAATTTCATGAATATGATACTCATAACGACTGGTCTGATAACATACTTATTTCTGATAGACATCCATCATACCTAATACACTGAAAAAGGAAGAATCGGAATAATATTTGAAAATGTAAAACAAGAAGTTCCATCCTTAAAAGATTTAATACAATTTAAGAGGAAAGGATTTAGATAAGAGAAATAGTGTTTGTTTAGTTTAAACAGAAATTAACTTCAATAAGAGTTTTTAAAACAAATACAAACTGGCATGTTGTGCTGCTAAAGATGTGGGAGAATCCTTCTTCAGTCATGTTGAAAAATAATTCGAGTAATTCATTATTTATGAATGTCAGATTATCAAACCATTTGTAGTTAGGGACTTTTGTTTATAACTAATTTCAGTTCTATAAACAGAAGCTAATGAAATTATAAAATAGGCACAAGAACTCAATTCTAACAGAACTGTGGAACCCGGTTATAGAAATAGCTGCACCCTTTAATGAAACTTTAACGTTCTCACAAAATGTGTAGACATGAGTAGCATGACTTTGCAAAAAAAAAAAACAATTCCGTTGTCGTGCATTCGTAAATCACAGTGTAGTATAAAGAATTTGTTCGTCAACAGGAAAGGAAGCAAACCCGTACAAAAACTATCGTTAGATAAAGGCCCGTGCAGCCTAAATCTATAGTGGGAATGAAAGTTAAAACTGTGACTTTGAAATCAAGAAACTCTCATTATGAGAATGAAATGATACATAACATTCAAAATTACAAGATAAACTGTAAAACGGGAGAAAAAAATAGTGAAGGAATATGGGAAATAAAAGAAAAAACAATTACAAGTAAAATATTAAAAAATAGTCATTTGAGAAATATTACCTTAACGAGAATCCTAGACTGAATTTTTTGTACAAACAAATTATTTACACTATAAATATAAAAACTTGAGACAGTCAGACCACAAGAACCATATTGAATCTATAAACCAGGAAGTAGGAAAGAAGTGAAATTATTCCATCAGATAAACTTGTTACGCTAAGTTTAGATGAGATGGAAACAGCAGAGCTGAATATTTGTCATTCCAATCTAAAAATACCTACAACAGAAGACACTTCTTCCTTCCAAGAAACGGGGTGAGAACTTACTGAAGGAGTAAACAAAGGCGATGAGGAATGAAAAATATCTGAATTTAGATAATGAAGAAAATAAATAAAAAAATTAAAGAGTTTTGAGTTTGACTGATGTTTATTTTAACGGAAAAACTGCCTTATTCAGTAAGAGTCTATTTTATTTTTCATTTAATAATGTAAATAAAGTTAAACATATTACTGATACGTAAAGATTTACTAGCAGACTTTGTTTACGTGAATACTTCTGAAACACTTTACAGGAACTTGATGATACCGCTCTAAAATCAAATCTGGCTCTAATTAAAAAAACGTGTCAAAGAACAAGATATTTCACGTGAAGAGATTGTAAATGTGTCATTTAAACTCTTAAATCAATAGGCGAAAAACAAACAAATAAAATGAAAAAATAGGTAAGCTATACCAAAGCAGATAAGTTGTTTATTATTAAGCACAAAGCTACACAAAGGGCTATCTGTGCTCTGCCCACCACGGATATCGAAACCCGGTTTCTAGCTGTATAAGTCCGCAGACGTACCGCTGTACCACTGGGTGGCAAGCAGATAAGGGAAGTATAACTGTTATTATGATTAATAATATATACGAGAAAATAATAATATAACACTTACAATATTCAACAACTTACGGACGTACACAAGATATGATGTTCGAAAAAGTCAGAAATTTGACTGAAAAATATAACTAATTTTTATATTAAAGATATTAACTGTTTACTAAATTTTGGATCGAATATGAACTACATATATGTAATTCCAAACATACACGAATCAAAAGAAATTAATAATTTATGTGAAAATGTATACAATACTTATTTAAAAATTCAAAAACCTTCCAATATAAAAAAAATCCATCTAATAGATGAAGTAAGTTCATAAATGTAGTTTTAAAACTACTTATTCAGGGGGGTAACACATGACCTAGATGATGTATACAAACTTTTTGAGAAACATTGATTTTTTACTTTAATCTCTTTTGAGTTTTTTCATACCAGCATTGATGATCATTTGGTTTAAACAGTAATTAAATACCCCTTTTAACGTTTTCCCAAATATTTATATGATAGAATTCCTTAAATTTCGTATTCGATATTTTACTTTTACTCATTCTGACTAATAACCTTCTAACAAGATTATTTTTAGTCAACTTAAACTGGGAACTAGTGTCCTCAAGCTACACAATGTTAGTTATACATTTTCTTGTTTGTTTGTTGTTAAGCGCAAAGCTCTACAACGGGCTGTTTGTGCTGTGTCCACGACGGGTATCGAAACCATATCGACAGTGTCATAATCCCAGAGATTTACTACTGAACCACTGGGGCATATTTTCTTGAATTAAGATTGTATTCCCTTAAAAATTATAAATTTTTTGAGATTTCATTATTTTGGTGGTTGCTTTATTGTGAAAATTAAACTGTTAGATACAAGCACATTCAAGAATATCTTGAAAGTTGTTATCAATAATATTACTTTTACTTATGAAGAGAAGATGGAACGATTAACTTTATTTTTGGGGGGAGGAGTATTATTGTTTTGAAACATGCTATAGGAATATTAAAAATATAATCATCATAAAGCTACGAATTCTCATGTACATTTAGATTTTTTTACTAGTAATAACACTCGCCACATTAAAACAAATGTTTCATTTTAAAGCCTCCGGGTGGCTCAGATGTAAATCCGAGAGCTCATAACACCAAAAGTCAAGTTTCGATACCCGCGTTGGCCGGAGTGCAAATAACCCATTGTGTGGCTTTGGGCCTAACAACAAACAAACAAAAGGTATTTTCTTTTGACTAAAAATTTAAAAACATTCAATGATTATAATAAAATTGCATTAAGATATAATGAATTAAATATATTTTTAACTATCGGATATTGCCACAATACCTCATCGTTGTCGCCTTGTACGCACGAAACATGTTGAACTAAAGATTAATAAGGTCAAACCTATTTGATTTGGGCGCGAGTTGGAAGAGCTTTGGTTTCGGAGCCGAGGAGCTAGTTTCCAATTCGTGCAATATCACAAAACATTCCCTGAATTTTAAGCTGTGTGTGTGTTATAAGAGTGGCAATCAATCCTTTATCGTTGATACTGAATGGTAAGGTGCCGTTAACTGGCTGCTTTCCTTCTGGTCAGTGGTCATATTCTAAAAAAAACAACTAATTTTAGTGTTATTAGTGCTTAATCACAACCAAAAAAGTTAAAATGATACTTTGTAAATTTTACAAATTTATGTTTTATATTTATTTTCGCGTAAAGTTATATGAAGTCTATCTACACCAGCTGTCCCTAATTTTCAGGTAATATACTACAGGGAAAATAAATTGTCATCAAATAGTGGGATTTGGCTGTCACACGAATACCCCCCCCCCCCGATGGCTACAGAGTGTGGGTCGACTTTTCTATAACATTTTCGGCAACGGGACGC